ATGGCTTCATGTGTGAAGAGTTTGGTGTGGTAAGGTATGTTGTGGAGCAGCCAGAAGCCCAGGGTGAATATAAGTATGTGAGGCCTTGTGAGGTTTTACCACTGCCTGAGGACTCCTATGCATGGACCCTGGGCGAGAGTCATTTGCGAAAGTGTTCTGTGTGAAACTGGTGCCCCAAGGCTTCTGGCCGAAGAGCATTTTTTATTTAATTTGTGTAGAGTGTGGTTTATTTTTGCATATTGAGTGTATCGATATCTTTTAGTTAGCAGATTATATTGAAGAACTGAAAACTACCTACAGTTAAGTGCATGCAGCAACAGATCATATAAAAAATGAATGCAGAGAATAACAAATCGGGATTTCTAGGAAGTTCATGCGTGTTGTTAATAATAATAATAATAATAATAATAATCATAAAAACCTGATGTTCAGCCAGTTAGAAGATTGTCTGAAAATTATGCATGGATTGCTGCTGGCTCACTTTCTATATATATCAAAGAGATTTTTTTTTTAACAATAAACATCTAAGCTGCTGCAGTTAAGCTGTGACATTGTAAAGTTTAAAAAGGAAAAGAATTAGAAAAAGAAAAAACAGAAAACACGAGCTTTTTACTACTACAGTTAAGTAATAACAAATTGGGATTTCTAGGGTATGCGTGCGGCACTAGGGTTTGTGTGGTGTGTGTCTCATTTCTCAACAATCTCATGCAGTGGAAAACGTTTTTCAGGGATCCCACTTTCTGGTGGGAGCTTCGATCAAAGACTTATTGGATCTACAAAGAGCTAGCAAGCCATCACTTACAGCAAAGTTCTTGTTGGGATCTTGTTTTTCTTCCTCAGCAGTGGACAAGGTATGATACAATGAAAAAGGTAAAGTCAGGTATTTGTTTAACGTCCGCTTGGAGCAAACCTTGCTCATCGGATGGCCTCATGACAACCCATTACAACCCAGGATGAAAACTCCACATCAAAGCTTAAGGCAGCATCACTTGTGATCGCCTTCATCTTGCTTTACAAACTGAAGTTATCGAGGTTTGTGATTGGATAATGCTTGATGGTGCTGAGACTCAAATCATCTTTGTTATGGAAACAACCCCTAGTCTCTCCATGCAACACATAACAATCCATCACCTCAAGCTATTGTTTTTTATCCCTGTAACAGTGGTGCACTGTTTCCAGGTATAGCTCCCAAGGAGGTCCCAGTTCCCAGGATGGCCTTCGGTAAAAGGATCGGGACGATACATCAGAGAGGGAAATACACTGAACTGGATCCTAAGGTTCAACTGGGAGAATGCTCTGCAATACACTAGTTTGGGGAGTACCTATATCTGATCTTATATAGTTATCCTGGGAAGGTAATGAGTTCAGTGTGTCTTTTTTTATGTACAGGTCTAAGCATGGCAGAGAGCTTTTGATGGATAAAATTGACACCAAGCTTATGCGGAAGTTGAAGAATCGGAAGTACATTGTCAACATGTGGAAGACACTGGTGGAAGCTAAGGTAAGCTGGCTTCTTGTGCAGGACAGCATCCCTGTTGGTGATTGGCTCACAGTTCACAAAACTCTGTATTCTATGCAATGAAAACCCGTGGAGATGCTTGAACACCTCTTCACATGCAAGTCGCCACGAACAGATCTACCTGTTTCTTCTCCTTGCTCAGCATTGAATGGATCTCCATCCCGATGCGTAGAGCTCTCTCCCTCTTCCTGGTGCCCTGAGGCTTCTGGCCGTGTCGCCCCATGAAGAGCATTTTTTATTTAATTTGTGTAGAGTGTGGTTTATTTTTGCATCGATATCTTTTAGTTAGCAGATTATATTGAAGAACTGAAGACTACCTACAGTTAAGTGCATGCAGCAACAGATCATATAAAAAATGAATGCAGAGAATAACAAATCGGGATTTCTAGGAAGTTCGTGCGTGTTGTTAGTAATAATAATAATAATCACAAAAATCTGATGTTCAGCCAGTTAGAAGATTGTCTGAAAATTATGCATGTACTGATTCTTCAGCTCTTGAGCAACTGATTGCTGCTGGCTCACTTTCTATATATATCAAAGAGATTTTTTTTTTAACAATAAACATCTAAGCTGCTGCAGTTAAGCTGTGACATTTTAAAGTTCAAACAGGAAAAGAATTAGAAAAAGAAAAAACAGAAAACACGAGCTTTTCAGTTAAGTAATAACAAATCGGGATTTCTAGGGTATGCGTGTGGCGCTAGGGTTTGTGTGGTGTGTGTCATTTCTCAACAATCTCATGGAGTGGAAAACGTTTTTCAGGGATCCCACTTTCTGGTGGGACAACAGGTTCAAGAAGAAAAACAAGTTCTTCTCAGAGTCCTACCCGGATTTCAAACATGTTTCTACCGGAGAGAGCCTGTGGATCGCCAACAGGAAAACACCAACCTGGGTCTCTGCAAAACTCGAGTCGCTCGCTGACCCAGCTGTAGGTAAGGCCACCACGGCCCGCTACAAATCTCCACATACCCCGGTGAGTTTAGGGAGGCTGATACACCGCGTGAGAGACTCAGCTGAGAGCAGATCCCTTTCTTTGGGAAAACAAGCCCATGAAGCTGTGCTCAAGAGTGATGAGCACAAAAGCAACATCTACTTGTTGACGGGATTGCTCGATATGTACTGCAAGTGTGGCGAGCTTGAGGAGGCTCGCAAGATTTTCGACTCCATGGGAACCCGGAGTGTTGTGTCCTACAACGCGATCATCCAGGGCTGTGGCTCGAACGGGCAAGCTGAACTTGCTCTGGAGTACTACTCTGCCCTGAGAGCTTGTACCACCATTCAACCCAACGATCGGACACATGTCGCGGTGATCAGTGCCTGCTCCAGACTTGCTACCGAATCCAGCGAGAAGAGGGAGAGAGCTCTACGCATCGGGATGGAGATCCATTCAATGCTGTGCAAGGAGAAGAAACAGGTAGATCTGTTCGTGGCGACTTGCCTGGTAGACATGTACTGCAAGTGTGGCGAGCTTGAGGAGGCTCGCAAGATTTTCCACTCCATGGGAACCCGGAGTGTTGTGTCCTACAACGCGATCATCCAGGGCTGCGGCTCGAACGGGCAAGCTGAACTTGCTCTGGAGTACTACTCTGCCCTGAGAGCTTGTACCACCATTCAACCCAACGATCGGACTCATGTCGCGGTGATCAGCGCCTGCTCCACACTTGCTACCGAATCTAGCGAGAAGAGGGAGAGAGCTCTACGCATCGGGATGGAGATCCATTCAATGCTGAGCAAGGAGAAGAAACAGCTAGATCTGTTCGTGGCGAATTGCCTGGTAGACATGTACTGCAAGTGTGGCGAGCTTGAGGAGGCTCGCAAGATTTTCCACTCCATGGGAACTCGGAGTGTTGTGTCCTACACCGCGATCATCCAGGGCTGCAACACGAACGGGCGAGCTGAACTTGCTCTGGAGTACTACTCTGCCCTGAGAGCTGATAACACCATTCAACCCGACGATCGGACTCATGTCGTGGCGATCAGCGCCTGCTCCACCCTTGCTACCGAATCCAGCGAGAAGAGGGAGAGAGCTCTACGCATCGGGATGGAGATCCATTCAATGCTGAGCAAGGAGAAGAAACAGCTAGATCTGTTCATGGCGAATTGCCTGGTAGACATGTACTGCAAGTGTGGCGAGCTTGAGGAGGCTCGCAAGATTTTCCACTCCATGGGAACTCGGAGTGTTGTGTCCTACACCGCGATCATCCAGGGCTGCAACACGAACGGGCGAGCTGAACTTGCTCTGGAGTACTACTCTGCCCTGAGAGCTGATAACACCATTCAAGCTGATGCTTGCACCTACACCTGCGTCCTTGCTGCTTGCGGGAGTGTGATGGCGATCAAGCTCGGGAGGGAGATTCACCAGCTGGTGAAGCATAAAGGGCTGCTGAAAAACAATCCAGTTCTGGGCTCCAGCCTGGTGAGCTTCTACGGCAAATGCGGCGATGTTGATTCTGCTCAGGAAGCGTTTGACGAGTGCCGAGCTCGGGACAACACGGGTCTCTGGAACTCTCTCATACAGGCTTACACTCTCCAGGGCCGATCGATCGAGGCCTTGGAGCGTTTCTATTCCATGACTCAGGAGGAGGGCTGTAAAGCTGACGATGTGAGTTTTGTCTCGGTGTTGAACGCTTGCAGCCATGGTGGTCTGGTCGGGAAAGGAAGGCAGCTTCTGGATGAAATGCCCAAGCAGTATGGAGTCAAGCCACGTCTGGAGCATTATGTGTGCCTGATCGATATGCTCGGGCGAGCTAACCTCCTCGACGAAGCTGTGAGAGTTCTCAGAGCCATGCCTTTTGAACCGGACGCAGTGGTTTGGACGTCCCTGCTCGGAGCCTGCCGGAAGTGGAAGAATTACACGATCGGCAAACTCGCGTTTGAGCGTCTTGTGGAGATGGATCCCAAGAGCTGCACGCCCTACGCATTGATGGCCAATATATTTGGAAACCTGGGGATGCTCAGTGAAATGGCCGCTGTTGTGGAGAGAATGAGAGGTGAAGGCAGCTTCAGGGAGCCCGGGAGAAGCTGGTGGACGGATGTTAGCTCAGGAAAAGTGCATTCTTTTTCTGTCGGGGATAGGAGTCACTCACAGAGCGACGAGATTGCGGCCAAGCTCAAGCAATTGTTGCTGAGAATGAAAGAGGAGGGGTACGCGAGCGATGTGATCAACGTTCTAAAAGACATACCCGAGGAAGAGAAAGAGGATCACCTGTGCGGCCACAGTGAGAAGCTTGCGCTGGGGTGTGCTCTGGTGAACTCGCACCAGAAGGAGACCATCAGAATTGTGAAAAATCTCCGAGTTTGTGACGGTTGCCATGCGGCCACTGCTCTCATCTCTAAGCTGGAAAAAAGGCTAATCATCTGCAAAGATGCCAGTCGGGTTCATGTGTTCCAGGATGGCAGATGTTCCTGTGACAACTACTTTTAAAACATGTCAGTGCTCTTTCTTGCAGTTATCCCTGGTTTTAAACCCTCCGTGAGTCGAGCAGAAACATGGGCCGCTGAGTGAGCATGCCTCGAAGTACCGCCGTCAACCTGCAATGATGCCAGTCGGGTTCATGTGTTCCAGGATGGCAAATGTTCCTGTGACAACTACTTTTAAAACATGTCAGTGCTCTGTCTTGCAGTTATCCCTGGTTTTAAACCCTCCTTGAGTCGAGCAGAAACATGGGCCGCTGAGTGAGCATGCCTCGAAGTACCGCCGTCAACCTGAACTTCAAGGAGAAAAAATTAACATTTAAAAGTTAAAACTATGCAAAAGGAGGATGACACCGGGAGCAAGGTGATGGCGGCTTGCGGCATGACCAACTTTGGGTTTGTGCTCCTAGAGCACGTTGAAGACGTGTGGAGGCTGGTGACGACGGCATTTGTTTCTTGCGACGTACTCACCAGTTCCTCGGCGACGTCTTCCTTCCAGATTTTTTGAGCTTGTCGTGAGTGGTGACCTGCTTTCTCTCTCCTGTGACGACTTCTTCCAGCCTCTGGTGCCCAACCTCAAGGCTCTCTTGTGGATGGAGCTAGCCCTACACAGTGTGTGTGTGTGTATCAAACAGCAGATGCACAAATCGTTGAGAATTAGCAACAAGTGTGTATCATAGGCTTAGTACGTAGTGTACTAGTGTACATGTACATGTGTTTCAGCTAAATATAATGGGCCAAATACACCGAAGAAGTGTGTATAAGAAGAGTAGAAACAAATTAAGAAATGTGGCCGGGGTTGGCCGCGGATCTCTGAATCTGGCCCCGGGAGGATTAGGCCATGGTTCTCGAGGAGGGGGTGCCCCGGGAGGAGGAGGCCATGGTTCTACTCTAGGAGGAGGAGGCCGTGGTTCTTCTCCGGGAGGATGAGGCCAGCATGTTCTCATGACGAAGACACAGCACTGGAATCTCATCTTCACCCTTTTGCTTTAGGGTGACATGCACATTGCGGATGACAAGAGCCCCGGTCTCCAAGTGCTGCCTGAGGAAGAAGACCGTGAACTTGAGGTTCGTTGGGCTGTGATTGGGAGGAGGTTTTGCATCGGCCTGTGGTGGGTCACCACCTGGAGTAAGTTTTCTTTGGAGTATTACGATGTGGGGAGGTGGAAGAGGAAACTTCAGATGGAGAAGAGGACCTTCTTCACCATTTGTGGGATGCTGGAGAGCGAGATCCAGAAGCAAGATACCGGTTGGAGGAGTGTGGTGCTGGTGGATGTTTGACTGGGGGTGACTTTGTACAAGCTTTTCAAGAACACAGATTACTTGGATCTGTCGGACAAGTTCGGCATCGGGGAGTCCACAGCTCATGAGATTGTCATGGACACTACTGTGGCAATTGTCAAGTGTCTCAGGTACAAGATTCATTTTCCTTCAACTGCCAAAGAGGTTCGAGCTGTTAGGGTGGGGTTCCATGCTCTACCCACCTGGAAATTTCTCCCCCCCCTCCAAAAAAACTCCCTTCCCCTTTTTTTTAATGGTTACTTGTAACCCTTTCTTTTTTATGCCATGTAGGGTTACACATCAGCATTCTTTTTCCCACATCATAAAGGATTAGGGCATTAATTTTGTTTGCCCTAAATTGAGCACATAGCATGCCACAGCTTAGCAATTCTTCCTTGGCAATCATTTCCCATGCTATAGAGATTGTGATGAGGTACTTAAATTTGGTAGAGTTGTTCTTCCTGGAGGAAAAGGACATGATTTTAGTTCCGGTTTCAAAAAAACTTTTATTTATTCGAATGGTGGAGAAAGTGATTGCTATAGTGCATCTATCTGAAACACTACCTACTATCCTTGTTATTATGTCAAGGAATGAAGTCTTACTATCTACCACGACTTAAACTACCATCGAGTAGTACTTTTTTGCCCCAACATACCAATTTGTTGCATCCTCTGATCCTGGGAACTTGATTGCAATGTGAGTGCAATCCATTGCACCACAACAATTTGGGAATCCATGCAATCTCTGAAATCCAGCTATACTTCTTTCATTCCCTCCTCAACAATTTGGGAATCCATGCAATCTCTGAAATTCAGCTATAACTTCTTTCATTCCCTCCTCATCCGGCCAATGAGTCATTATTCCTTCATGCTCAAGCAATGCATACCTGAAATGGCGTAGACAAGCTTGGGCAATGCATGAAAACACTCCAAATGCATCACTAATTGTCTACCACATATCTATAAGCTCCTGAGTTTGGACTTCCCGAGAGGTCACCCAGCCCAGTACTATTCTAACCCAAGGACACTTAACCCTAAGTATCCCAAGACCCTTAACCGATTGGAAAAAAGGGTGCACTCTTGTTCATAGGCCCTTTCCCTCTATATTTGAGCTGAGAGCCACAGCTCTCCCGAGAGTCCCGCTCTCTTGACACCCTACCCCTCGGGTCGAGCCCAGTGGGAGCAAACTGGACCAGCCAGATGTTAATCAACATGTGGTGTGATTCCCCTAGCCAACCAACAGAGTCGGACTTGAGACCTCTCTGATACCAAATGTAAGCTCTTGAGTTTGGACTTCCCGGGAGGTCACCCAGCCCAGTACTATTCTAACCCAAGGACACTTAACCCCAAATATCCCAAGACCCTTAACCGATTGGAAAAGGGGGTGCACTCTTGTTCATAGGCCCTTTCCCTTCTATATTTGAACCCCATGGACTGTCTCTCGAGTTGTTCCCTTTGGTTGCTTACAATATCCCCGAATGCCAAACGTTTCAAAGCAATAGCTATTTACTTTGAAACAAGCAAGTGCCACCCTAGTATTTCTGCCAAACTTGGAGGAGGCCTCTTGACCAATTTTGGAACAAGCTCATCACAAAGAAAAGTGAATGTAAATACCAAAACCTGAAAAACTTCTCTGAATTTTTATGGATCTATATGGAGAACCTCAAGCTCTGTTTGATACCACCAGTGTAAACTTCGTGGCTTGATGTAATACGCACTAATCGATAGCCCTAAGAGCTCCTTTTTCGTGATTACTCTTTCAACAAATGAAGATATAGCGGGACATGGCATAGAAAGAGTTTAGAATTCTAGTGGTTTGAAGAAGGCTTGGATTGAGAAGAAGTGTTAATGTGGTCCAGTGTACCACATAGAGTTTGGGGACATTCCACAGTATATAATTGCTAATGAAGGATATAACTATGCTTTACCAGTTTTGGTCCCATATCCAAATAAGTTTCATGGCAAAGAGCAATACAACTTCCTTCATTCTTCTACAAGGATTGTTGTTGAGTGATCTTTTGGAATTTTAAAGAGGCAATGGAAATTGCTAACTCAGAAAGGATTTAGAGGTCATCCAGTCATCCTTGCGAACAACATCATTGCTTGTTGCATGCTACATAACTTAATGATCACACAGAATGATAGGTTCATGGAAGATTTTGACCCCGACAAATTTAACCATGATGTAGGTTACCTTCCACAAAGGTCTCTTTGTTCAGCTAAAGATGGCATAGCATTGAGAGACACAGTGGAAAGGTTTATAGAGAGCTTAGAGTGACAATACTATTGTACTTTATTTACTTAAGAGTGACAAAAACTAAACATTTTGGTGTTGATCCTCTTTTAAGATTTGTCGTGTTTCAGATCACTTGACACAAGGCAAGAAGTCCCTATTGAATCAGAAAGACAACGAAACTTGTTAAGCTCCGAGTTGTAGAGCATGACATAAGCCGATACCTTGTTGTTGACAATGGTGACCGCACAGCCCACTGGTAGCTCTACAACATTGTTGCATATCTGCAAGCATCACAATTAGAAGGCCAGCTTTCGCAAGGAAACTCTTTCCACTCACAAGGAATGAGTGGCTTTCGACAAGTGACAGGTACATTTTCTTATGTTTTTTGGATTGTTATAAGTTTTGATGACCAATAGGAACCCGACTGCCTAATGTTGCTGGGGTGATCGACTACTAGACTGGACGGCGAGAGCTACTACAACTGGAAGCAGCGGTACTCGGTCATCTTGCAAGGGGTTTGTGATGCCCAAAAGAGGTTCCTTAGTGTCTACGCTGGGTGGCCAGGTATGTTTCTTTGTGTGTTGTGGATGGTTCTAAAATGTTCTTTTTGCTTTCAGGACGTGTCCATGACATGAGGGTTTTTCGTAATTCAAGCCTCAGGAACAAGATTGTAGCAAGGGAGCTGCTGACATCACCCGCGGTGTTAGCATATGATGATAGGATCAAGCCATACCTAGTGGGGGACAAGGGTACCAACTCCAGCAGCATCTGATGATTCCACACACAAGTAAGTCTTCTTCATTCTACTTTCTTTTGTTCACTTGCTGTGGTTGTTGCTCAGCTGTGAACCCGACACCATCCAAGGCAGCTTTCAACCTTCATCACCACCTTGCTCGGATTGTTATTGAGCAAGCATTTGGACTTCTTAAAATGAAGTTCAGATGCTTGGATAAAAAACAAAGGATCCAGCCAAAGTACCTTCCCAACATCATCAAGAGTTGTTGCATCTTGCACAATTTCTTGATTGATGTTGGGGAGACTGATCTTTGGGTGGAGATCCATGCTTGGAGGAAAGAGGTGAAAAGGCTCAAGGACCAGGACCTCTTTGTTGATTATGGTGATCCCGAGCAAGCGGAAGGGGAGCCTCGCGAGGAGTTGCACAGTCCAGAGGGTGCGAAAGAGGCTAGAGAGAACCTCACGTTTTCCCTCTGTCTTTGCTTCGAAATTTGCCGGGATATAATTCTAAACATTTGAATTTGAAATTTGAATTAAGTGAATTTTAAGTGTTTGAACGCATTGTTTTTAAGTGCGAATCCGAGGGTGTTTTTCCACTTAAATCTAAGACATGTGCGAATGCAAAAGTCCTTATAAGTTTACTTTGCAACACAATGTTTTTCAATGTGCGAACCCAACTTTCTTAATTTTTAAAGTGGGTCGCTTAAGTTTTTTTTCACTAAATAAATGTGCGAGTTGGTCCTTTCTCAACATAAAAGATAATGTTTTGCCAAGCTTACCACAACCACTGGCAACC